TTATAGAGAGAGTATATATAATTGATAACTTGGAAATAAAACTCTTAAAATGGGTTTAAAGAATTCCTTTCTCATAGTGGTTTTCATTGTTCTTGCTATCACTACAACTCTGGAGGGGAGAGCAAAAGAGCCAAGTGACACTTCAAGAACCATGGAACTAGATAAGAAAAAAGAAATAGGTAAGCCTTCTCTCTTGATCTAAATTGGAATTTAATTCTTAGAAAACCCATCAAGATAAGAATTAATCCTGAATTTAAATATATGATTTTTTCTTTAATAATATTTTTTTTCGTTTTATTGCTAGGTGCAATAACTAATGAAGATTATAGTTGGGCTCAAGGACCTAATAGCGATTTGAAAGAAATGGAAGCGCCAACACCAAGTATGGGCTCCTAGGCAGGGAATTTGTTGATTCCATGGCAGGCATTGAAGAAAACTCAATCAAGCATATGAGGGTTATTTTATGATTCAATGTAATAGTGTTTGATTTAATATAGCTATAATACTGTCCTTGACCTAGCCTATATATGTTCTATTATATGGTATGTGGTGCATGAAATATACTCTTGTAATAATGGAAGATCAAGGCGCGCATAGCTATAAAACTGTCCTTGACCTAGCCTATATATGTTCTATTATATGGTATGTGGTGCATGAAATATACTCTTGTAATAATGGAAGATCAAGGCGCGTATAGCTATAAAACTGTCCTTGACCTAGCCTATGTTGTATTATTGGTATGTGGTGCCGGAAATATACTCTTGTAATAATGGAAGATCAAGGCGCGTATAGCTATAAAACTGTCCTTGACCTAGCCTATGTTGTATTATTGGTATGTGGTGCCTGAAATATACTCTTGTAATAATGGAAGATCAAGGCGCGTAACGGTAGATGTGCATGCAATTCCATTCCTCTTTCTCACTGTGCAGCAAGCATGAACCGATACGGGTGCGTAGTTGTATTGAATTTGAAGCCTTACACAAATGGTCACTTTTTACATTTATTAGTAGATTGTCAGTTAATATAACTTTACTTCGATGGATTGGTTCCACCTATCCCTTGTTTCGATTGCCACCCGACGAGCAGCTGGCCAGTACTGGCGAAATCATAGATGAAAACGTAAGAAATGTCATCGACACCACAGGTGATGCGAAACGCTTCTTCTGCTCCATCTCTTTAGGGCAACGACAAGCCCTTTCTTGTGCAGCTACAAATAAAATCCTTTTCACTTTCTTTTACACGCTTATTAGTGACTAACAACTAAGAGAAATGTTTCCAAATATGTTCACATTGTGACTCATATATATGTATCTGAAAGAGATGGACATAAATGATGCTAGGAAATTAATTTTAGTGAGCAAAAACTAGCTCTAGGATATTATCAATTTCATCCTCAAATCATTATTACATCAATTTTATTCTCAAATAATTTGGATTTCTCAATTGGGTCCTCTTAGAATTCATAAATAGAAAACATTTAGTTTCCTACAAAACAACGTCATTTCTTAAGAAAAAAGTATAATTTGGATTAAATTTTTTATCAATATGAACGGAAAGACTTAATTGAGAAATCCTATATATATATTGTGAGGTTAAAATTGAAACAGCCTAGCTTTGAGGAGGGTATTTTTAAGGTTGGTCCAGATTTAAAAGAAAAAACAAAATAATATGGCACATACTCATCCCTCCACAAATTCGTCAAAGGAATTGATTGACAATGACCCTCTAATATTCCAGAATAACTGATCTTAGAACCTTCTGGTTCTCACTGCGAGTGTGACAATTGATTTTTTTTTTTTTTTAGGAAGTCTCAAACGTTTAAAAGCTTCGGCCTTACATGTAAACCATCTTAGTAGTCCTGTCCCTCCATCTCTTGGTAACCCGAGTGAATTAATCATTCTGTTTTTACACCAGAATGAGCTTTCAGGACCCTTTCTTCATATATAGTTTGCCTAGTTATGAGAAGCTATCCGCTTTGCCGTTGTTTGGAAATCAACTCTCAGGTACAGTGCCTGAAGGGTTAGCAAATCTCTCTCTATATGAAGTTCATCTTAGTGAAAACAACTTCTCTAGCCCCTTGCCAGAAGTCTGTCAAAAAGCTCCACTTCAATATTTCTCTGCAGCTTTTAACAACTTCAGAGGCCCAGTGCCAAAAAGCTTTTTGACGTGTTAGATATTTTGCCACCATCGAGTTACTAATTTGCTGTGTGTTTTCTATGATTGCAGTATATTATTATTACTTTTTTTTTATTTGAAATTAAGCGTGAATGTTTTCCTCTGAATTTTAAAATGCATGTAAGTTCAGAATAATTAAGAGATAGAATGCATGTAAGTTCAGAATAATTAAGAGAAAAATAATTAAGTGGATTAACCTAATTATTATTATTTTTATTTATATGTGTAGAATAATATATAATAATAAAGGTTTAGATTACAATACAAGAATAAATATGCAGTACATTCTATAATATCTCTTTAAATTAAGGGTAAATGATCGATCTGAAGCTTAAATTGAAAAGTAGTAAAAAAAATACTAGAAAATAGCTTAGTAAAAATATTTGCAAGTTGATTTTGAGAAAAGATAAAATAAATCTAAATCTTTTTCTTTCCAACTCAAGTCAACCTTAATATTTTCATAATTCATTTTTTGAATAAATAATAAAAAATTAATGAATAAAAATATATTTGAAAATGGGGTTAAGACAACATAAAATTTAAAGTTTGAGAATGAAATTATTAAATTTGACAGTCAATTAGTCAATAATTAAATAATTAAGAAGTTAAAGACTTTAATTAAAATTTTGGATTAGTTTAATTAATAAAATCGGGTGTTTAATTAAAAAATTAATAAGTTTGAGGACTTTGTTAAGTTTTGATTTAATTAACTAAAGAAATCAAGGGTGATTAGAAGCAAAATTTCAAGAGATTAAAAGACTAAGGACCATAGTGAAATTGCAGGTTTACTTTAGGAATTTTAATTGATTTTTTCAGAGATAATTTTGAATGAATTAAAAGTTGAATATTTAATTAAGGACCAAATTGAACAATCCAGAAATTAAGGACTTTTTTGTAAATAGTGTTATAATTCAGGGATTCAGTTTAAATATCCAGTGGCTAGATTAAAAGAAATTTTTTAATTACTTGATATCCAATTGTTAAATTTTCAAAGATCAGGGATCAAAATGAAAATATATATTTCTGTCTAAATGGCACAGTTGCTATGTGGAACAGTCGTGCTTGTTTTCTTCATCTCAATTCAACAGGGGAATTGAAAATCTACAACAAATCCGATCTAATCGTGGATTGAATAACAGTCCTGCAAAGGCAGAACTGGTTGGTGGGAAAGCGACTCGATCTCTGTAAAAGGGAGAATAGAATAGGGGAAAGGGGACAAAAACTCAGAGAAAAAAACCAGCGAACGAAAGTGCATAGACGAGAACTGGCATTGACCATCGTCTTCATAGTCTTCAGTAACCAGCCTCCAGAACAACAAGGAATCAGACACAAGGAAAAACCGAAGAAGAAAACAGGAAGAGAGGGAAAAAAACCTAGGAAACAGAACAGAAAAACAAAACCAAACAAGCACAAATTCGTAGAGAAAACGCAAGCAGAAAACCCAAAAGACCAACATTGACATCACCGTCTTCTTCATCCTGCAGACCGGAGACAGACACAGACCAGAGACAGACAAACACACCAAACAGAGAAGAATAGAACACGTAGAAGCGGGGAATATCAAGTAATCGTTGCGCGGTAACCATCCCTTTGCGCTCATTCATCTCGAAAGCAATCTCAGGTAAGGTAAGCTTTCTTTTTCCTTTTCATTCTTGTTCACGCGTGCTTTGCCCAGCCTAGCCCATTTGGGCTGAGCTCAAAAAATAAAAAATAAAAAAATAAAGATGTGTGTATGTATAAATAAAAAAATATAAATATGAATTTATTGTTTTTATTTATTAAAACCAGAATCACAATAAAAATAATTATTCAAATTTATTTAATTATATTTTATTTAATTACATAAATATAAAAATATGCATATAAAAAATAAAATAAAATAAATTTATTGATTGATTTATTCACTGACCTCATAGTTAGGAATAAAAAATACTGATGTAAATTTATTTTATTTAATTTAATTTTACTTTTATTTAGCTACATAAAAAAATTTGTGTATGCGTAAAAATTAAATTTATTTTATTTGTTTATTCACTGATGCTAAAGTCAGAAATAAAAAAAATTGATTTAATTTTTTTTTGTATAGCTATGTAATATTTACCAACATTAGAGTTGGAAATATCCATAGTTGAATATTCAATGGTGTCAGAGTCAGGAATATTACACACAAATCATCGTAGCGTAAACCAACAAAATATTAGTAATTTATGACAAAATCAACAAAGCAGCCTGTCTCAGGCAGGTTATTCAAAGGATGATAATATCTTTCTTTCTGCGTAACCAGTCTCGTACCATAAAATCTCTGTTGACCAGTTAGGATTTCTAGTAACCATAATACTAGGTTGCGACTCCTTAAAACAAACCATTCCTCGTCAAAGAATAGGATGTCAGAAATCCTTTTTTTCGAACTGAGTTATTTTTATGGCCGCCATAATGTTTGAAAGTGACAAACATGTTTAGTACGAACATGAAAGATAGGTTTTGCAGATAGATAAGTAATGCCTAGATTATCGCACAAATAGTAGAGGCAGAGGTAGAAAGAATCTATAGATCTCTTAATAAATACTGAAGTCAGATAACCTCAGTAGTTTCATTTGCTAAGGCTTTATACTCAACCTTGGTAGAGAAGTGAGCAAATGTTCGCTTCTTGCTTAATTTCCATGAAATCAGCATTTGACCAAAAAAACAAGGTAATCATCCGTAAACTTACGATTATCAATACTACCTGTCCAATCTGCATATGTGAAGCCATTGTATTTTAATTAAGGTGAGATTCTATGTTTCACAACTCCAAGGCTAAGTCATTGGATTTTAATCAATTTTTGACTTAACAGGCATTATTTGATTGTAAAATGAATGGGAGCATTGAATATGAGCGAGTTTTGTGACAACTCTATTTGTTTAAGTTAATCAGTGAACTTAATATGATATGTTATAACTTACCATCTGAAATTTGATTCTGCATCATTTGCTAGATCAATTTAAGCTAAAATTACTGCTGTATTAGTAAGTAATAGGAATGAAATTTCACAAGAGCTGACATTCAAGATTTGGGACTTGGCAATCTATGCTTCTCTTTCTGCATTATGATAATCCCTTGGCTGCAAATTTCTGTTATGCATTTTCCAGGCAGTTGTGAAGGAAAGAATTCATTAAGTGGAGTTCGGTACTCCGAAGAACCGGCAATTTTCGCTTGGGAGCTCATGAATGAGCCTTGGTGTTCATCAAGTTCTGCTCCTGCACTTCAGGTGAACCATTGAATTTTCGTTCTTCTGTATATGTTGGCATAGAATTTCAAAAATAAACTAAAGTATTTGGCTGGAATCTGGAGAGAAGGGTGAAGGTGCTGTTTGATGGAAGCATTCTGAGCCGAAGAATATCATTTTCTCTAGTTCTCTATGATTGTGGGGTGGTTTGTTCATATCTCTTATCGCACCCGACATCGCGACGGCCTTAAAAATTATTTAAATCTTTGGAAAGAACGGATTTCTAGCATCCTGTTCTTTAATGAGGATATTCTTTATTTAAGTAGTCGCCACCTAGTATTATGGTCACTAGAAATCCTAACTGGTCAACAGAGATTCTATAGTTCGGGACTGGTTACGTAAAAAGGAAGATATTATCACCCCTTAAACGTCCTACCTGAGGCAGGCTGCATTGCTAGTTTCGTCTTAAATTGCTATATGTTTATTAGTTTATGTTATGATAATTTACTTATAATATCTCTGACTCTGGCGTCACTGAATATTTAACTACGGATATTTCCAACTCTGGCGTTGGTAAATATTACGCAGCTATAGAAACAAAATAAATTTAAATCAATATTTTTTTTTTATTCCTGATTCTGGTGTCAGTGAATAAACAAATCAAATAAATTTATTTTTTATGTATACACATTTTTTTATGTAACTAAATAAAAGTAAAATATAATAAAATAAAATAAATTTATATTAGTATCTTTATTCCTAACTCTGGCGTCAATGAATAAACTAATAAATTTACTTTATTTTATTTTATTTTATTTTTGTATGTATATTTTTTATTTTTATGTAATTTAAATAAAATATAATAAAATAAATTTTAATTAATATTTTTATTTTTTCTGGTTGGGACTAACTGTATATGACGAGAGCCTGTAGCCTGAAAAGCTAACAAATAAAGAGAGTAATTATTTTACAAGCCCTCGTGTTGCCATTTCAATGCCTAGCTACTCCCTAACTGTACCTATAATGTGAGGTTCTGCTTTTTTTTATGTAGGACTTGTACAGCTAACAATTTTCTTTCCTTAATTAGTTTGGATGCTGTGATCAAGCTGTAAGGACAGAAAATGCATGCACATTCATCTTAACAGAACACCAAATAAAATTTCATCAAGATCCACCTTCCGAACTTTCCAGTCTCGAGATGCAGCTGATGACCTCTCACCTTTCATTCTGTGTGTGTCTGTTGCCGCAATTGAAGATGAAGATGACGATGATGGAGGGCTGTCCAGTTGATGCTGTTTTCTTCTCCTCTGTTTTCCTTTTGTTCTTCCCTTGGTCTTCTTTCCTTGCTCTCCTCGTCTGTACTGTACCCGTTCATTTTCCTCTTCTCTCTACTGTTTTTTTTTTTTATATTTATTTTATGTGTTCTTCCTCGCCTATTATCTCTGTTTTTGTCCGCGTGTTTTGTGCTCCCCTGTAGTTTTATCTCCCGATGTCTGCGTTCGTGGTCTTTATCTTTCTTTTAATGTCCTTCCTTCTTCTCAGTTCTTCCTGTTAGTTCATTCTCTTCTAGGCTGCCTTCGTTTTCTGGTTTCCCTTTTTGTTGTTCGTGATTCCCCTACCTTTACTGAAAAGAGATGGTTGCTGCTGCTATGGTTGATGCATGCTCACGGTGAGAAAGGGGAGGTTTTTTACTCATGCACGTATTTTTTATTTTTCTAGTTAAATAAAATAAAATATAATGAATAAAAATAATATAAATTTGAATTTGTATTTTTATTCCTGACTCTGACGTTAGTAAATAAACCAATAAATTTATATTATTTTTATTCATGCATACATATTTTTTATTTTTTTATTTTTTTATTTTTTGTTACTTTTATGTTCCTAACTCTGGAGTCAGTGAACAATTCCTATGAATATTTCCAACTATAGCGTTGGTAAATATCGCACAAAACCAAAAATACAATACTCCTAACTCTGACGTCAGTGAATATTTTTGCAAAAAATGAATTTAAAAAAGAAATTTTCTATGTCATTTTTTTATTTATCCTTTATTATTATTTGCCCTTTTTAGATGGAAGTTTTTTAAAAAAAAAAATTGCACGACATATTTGTATTTAACAGAAATAATCCACAAATTAAGCACATCTACAAAAAAAAATACAAGCACAAAGAAAAAAAAAAGTTTGAGGGGTCCACAAATAAATTAGCGAAGGCCCCAAATATTTTTGGAATTTCATGTTATCAAAAAGGAGTTCGTTTGTTGAAATATCAAATTAGAATGGGTATAAAAATTATGCTTGCCAAGCACACTCCTAACAAACACAGTAACTAGTTAATTATTTTAGCAAGAAATGAAGGAAACTTACCTAGGCGTGTGGCTGCTGAAGGCGAAGTCGAGGGAGACTGGGAAGAAAAAGGGTTGAGAAGGGCGACGGCTAGTATAGGATTCATCGTCCCCTTCTTTTTTATGTTTCTCTCTTTTAGGGTTTCTGGTAATGGCCTTCTCGTGAGGTTTTTTCTTTTAGAGTTTCTCTCTAATTGTCCTCCTTCCTCTCTCTCTCCTTCTTTTGCTTTCTTTTTCTGAGTTAATTCTCTGTTCTCGGGTTCATCCTTTTTTTTTCCTCCCCCCTAAGATCTGTAGTTATAGTATTAAAGTCCCTTCACGTGTGAAAAACCAAGTTTCAATCAAACTCATTCTCTTCTTTGAAGTTTGAATTTGATTAAGAATCAAATTTGAAAGCGGATAACTATTATTATTTTAAAGATTAGGATTATCTCGAAAATAAAGATTATCTTAAAGATAGAAATTATCTTGAAGATAAGATAGAATGACAAAAGCAAATTGTAGTCCTTAATTTTTATGGAAGTTGACAAATCACACTTTTCATCGAAATAAATATCTGATCTTTTAATTTTTCATTTTAAACCCTGTAAAAATTAAATTAAAAATTAAAGGGCCAAAATTGGGTTATGATAATTAACATTACCAAAAGGATATGCGTTGTCGTTGTTTAAGCAAATTATCTGGTTTACTTTTGAATCAAATGTGATTGAGATCATTGTAGTGCTTTTCCTTTGGCTTAAGGCATGGATTGCTGAGATGGCTGCATATATCAAAAGCTTGGATAAAAGACATCTGGTGACTGTTGCACAAGGGTTTTATGGCCTGAATACAACTAACAAGTCAGAAGTGAATCCTGGGATTTGGGCAGCTTCACTTGGATCAGACTTCATACCAAACTCAGCAATATCCAACATCGATTTTGCATCAGTTCACGCATATCCAGACAGCTGGTTAGTAATTTATTTCCAGTTCATTGTATGGCAGAGTATTGTAGCTTAGGGTCCAGTAATAATGATGAGCTACACAAGAATAATGGTTTACTACACCCATCAATCACAATGCCATGCTAGGACCCCCATAACGTAAGCTGATAGGAAGATCACTTTAAGCTTGAAATAGTGATGTAGTGTCAACCGTTTGAGAAGATATTGTGCTGTTCATTTGATTTTGGCTCCATGCTGTCTAAATGTTGCTAACTATGGCAACCTAGAAGTTACATTTATAAAGTGCAGTTCAATTGATTGGTAACACAGTTGATTGAAAGCCAGAGTAAACAAATAAGTCAAGTATTTATATTTATAAATTCCTGATAAATATACTCTTGTTTCTCTTTATACCATGCATTGTAGGATCCCACATGTTGATTTGAAAGCGAAAACGAGTTATCTGTCTCATTGGGTGGATTCTCATGTAAGTGATGGAGACATTGCGCTGTGGAAACCAGTTCTTTTCACAGAAGTCGGGTCAAGTCGGCACGTGGATGAGAAGGGAGTGTTTTGACAGAGATGTTTTGTTGAAAACAGTGTATGATAAAATTTATGAATCCGCAAAGAAGAGGAGGGCTGGTGCTGGTGCCTTCATCTGGCAGTTACAAGTTGAAGGCGTGGATGGATACAGTGATGAATTTTCTTTCGTGCCCTAAGATTATCCTTCCACCTATAAACTGATAAAAGAACAATCATGTAGGCTGCAAAGTATTTCTGCAAAAACCAAAAGACAAAGAAATCCTCAACAGAGAGATCCTTGCTTTGATCAGTCGTAAATGAGAGGAGATGAAACACAGCAACTGTAATGTTTGAGGTGGGAAGAAGTTTTCGGAGTTGAATACGAGGTTTTATACTGTTCTTGGTATGGGAGGCTCACAAGATATACGCTTGAAATGAAAGATCAAAAGGAAGAAACTGTGAGGGCGATACAGGTTCTACCAATTCTATGCAGATTCAAGATGAGGAAATGGTCTTGTTTCTGTATTCGAACAGAGTGAACATTGATCTATGTGGGCACATGTGCGACTCTTGAGAAGGGCTCCTTCGTCCTTGCAGTATACATTTACTCGAAATATGAAGAACAGAAGATGAAGAAAGTGCGACAGTGATCAAGGTTTTTTTCTTTTATTTTTTATTTAATTCAGACTTGTCTTGACCTCCATTCCTGCCAGAGCAGACCAGTTTTTACAACCATGGATGCATGTATTTCAAAACTTTTATAATAAAGTATGATATGTACTTGTATTGTTGGCATTGTCACATATTTTTTTCCCCTGTAAATCCATGGCTATTTGGACCGGTTAAAATATATCTCAACTAATTTTTCGAGATTATAAAATTAATGATTATACAAATTCCTAGTAATTTTGAGATTTATGATATTTAAATTGATAATTTCTAAAAATCAAACTTAAAATTTGAACAATTAAACTATATTTTTATTAACACTTAACTTAACATGCATAAATTTTGCATTTTGTTTTTTTGCATTAATTAAAGTATTCAAACCATACATGAGTCCTGAAATTAATGATTACATAAATTTTTAGTGATCGTCATATTAACAACTATGAAATTCAAACTAAAAACTATAAAAAATAAAAATAAATTTGATCCCGAGCTCTTCCTATACAAATTTCACTTCTTCTACACACTCGACTAACAAACTAAGAGAAATGTATCCGAATGTTCATGTTCTGACTCAAATATATGAAAGAGATGGACATAAATGATGCTATTTATATTCACGTTGCTTTTCAATTCAATATGTAAAATTAAAATCAGTTCTGTAAATCAATCTAGGGTTATTTGAATTGATTTAGATTGAAATAAATAAAAATATTTTGATCAATGATTTAGATCAACTTGTTAGCTAGAATAATTTTTTATTAAAATAATATCATATTAATATTTTAAAATATTTTTTTTATTAAAATAATATTATATTAATATTTAAAAAATAAATAAATAAATAATTGAGTTAACTTAGATGTGCTCTAACTAACTAGGTTGTTAACCATCTTAACACTAGAGTTTGTCCTTCCTGTAAGACGGTTTGGAAGGACAGCCAAAATGGACACTTGTGAAAATTTATAAA